ACGGAACTATATTAGATCTTAGTATAACATAACTATAATTTCAAACCTCGAGGACAAATATATCGCTTTAATGTTTAGCTAGAAATGACCATGTGATATGTTATTGCTATCGATATGACTAAAAAACATATTAAGCAATTGTAATAAATAATATTTAATTCATCAAAATACGTATGCTTATCTTTTTATTTATGTGATAACTGACAAAATATTACAGTGAATAGAGCCAGTAATTTATGGTGTATCATTTAGGAGAAAAGATACATTCGAATTTGTATTACTGTCTTTTATTATTGTTATCTGCTTACATATTACTAAAATATATATATTTTTTTAATATTTCACTAATTTATTGTAATCTGTATTAGAGCATACAATAAATAATATTTTTAAATATTAAATATAATTTATATTCTAAGAGATGATATGTTTAAATATGTTTTTGAAACTAACAAGAAATACTCTAAATAAAAAATTGGAAATACTTAATGATTTTTAAAAATCGATACCAAAGTTAATTACTTTGAAATAATAGAAAATTTTAAAACATTATTTCTATGAATGAGAAATATTCTACTATATAAAATATGCGAACAACCAAAAGTCTTCGAATTAATTAATTCTAGAAAATTTGATCAGGTCTCATTAAATGGTTTCGAATAAATTTTTGGTAGAAACTTAAACCGAATTATAAACTAAATATAATTTCTTAAACGATACGAATATACGAATGTAGACTATACATATACTTCATGTTCATGCTTAATATATTCAGTGAATGAAAATATATGGAAACGACGTCTATAAATTACACAAGTAGCTGGAAACAATAATCGCTGAGTCTGAAATATTGAACACAAATAAACATTTAATTATTATTTGATTTTGATTTAATTGACATTAATTTTTCCTTTTTAAATTATAAAATTTCTAGGATTTTTTAGATAAAAATTCTGTATAAAACAAAATCCAGCATTTCGTCTTTCACGCTTTAATAATTGATTAATATGATCTACACCTATTGAACAATTCTTTTCCATTCATCTCTTTCTAATTAGAATTTATAATTTAAAAGCAATTTTTTTTTCTAAGTTGCTAGCACTGTACTGTGTTATCATGAGATCAAATCTATAATTGTTATAATCTATAATATAATCTATAATCGTTCAGAATCAAATTTGACGCTATCCTTAACCTTAGCAGAAACGATATTAAAATCTACTCTGAACTTCTTACAGTACACTGTAGACTCAATCACCACATAAAGAATATACGTGCGATAGAAAGTGATTTCTGTCGATTTCGTTATGAAGAGAAAGAAATATCAGAACATATTCTATGCAACTGCCCATCAGCTTTTATGCGTTGCACCTACAAGCGGGTATGCTGCAGTAATCCTGTCAATTGCTTCGGATTATTTATCTTAAATCAAATATAATAGCTTTGATATTATACCTACTTTCAGTACTACTGTAAGAAAAACCAGGTACTGAATTTTTCCAAATCCTCAGAACTCTTTAATAATAATATAAGAATATATTAAGATTTATTTCATTTTGCTATGCAACTTGTAAAGTCACAACAATTTTAAATAAATATTAGACTTTATTTATTTGGAGGATATAAAAAATCAAATTCAAAAATAGCAGAAATTCATTTCCTTTAATAAATTCTATCATATATATCATATTATTCAATTCGTTTCTTTAATTTACAAAATACTTTTATCTAACTATTTTAGTATGAGTACGACTACGTACGAGTATTGTACAATATTTCATTGCAATTATAGATAAAATTATTCCACATGAAAACCTTAACTACCTACATTGTTTTTGTAACACGCAATTTTATTAGATTTAATCGAAAATATCTTCCTATTCTTCCTATTCTAGAGAAGTTGAATCACGTTTGTTTTCATTTTCAATATCAATTCCAGTGCGTCTTAATTAATATTTCGAGCGTTTTTAGTCAATTAAAATATAAAAAAATACAGCTTGGAAATCTAAAAATAAAATATTAAATTTCTCACATATGTTCTTAAATGAGTTTATGACAATTTTTATGATTTGTTTTTATGACAAATGATCATAGCTGGAGAGTGCTCTCTTTAAGAAACCAAATATCCAATAAAATAAAGAAAGTTCATTGATATTTTTGCTTAGCTGGATTATAAGTAAATTTAATATATAAATCAGGGACGAGTAAATAAAATGACGCATGCTTTTATTTACTAATGAAAACATTTTACAAAATAAAAACTTTATAGCTTTGAAATAATGAAACGTAAACAAACCCGGTGCCAGGCAGTCTACGAGTACCTAAAACAGGTTAGGTTTTGAGTTTAAGTAAAAACATTAGAAATGATTATAAAAATTGAATGATTTATATGGAAAATATTGAGAAGTTGAAAATCCGTGTTTAGTTTTAATAAAATAAAAGGGTATAGTTTTACCAATAATTGAATTGAAGTTACTCCAAAAATATCACACTGTAGATGATGGATTTAGGTGGCAGTCCATCTCGTAGAAGAGTCACATGTTACCAAAACAGGCAATCAAGGAGACAGATTGATCTACTAACATATGGTATTGACAGTAAATATCGGTCTTTTTAAAATAACCTTGGGTATTTTTACAGAACTTTTAAAAAGTTCAATATTATCGAGTAATATTGGGTTATGGAATTGGTTCAAATAGTATTTAGTCTAGTGTTAGAGTTTAATATACACGTAAAAATAATATTTAAAAAATTTTTTTTATTACAGATTTGTGTGTTTTTATTCAGAATTATTAAAGAACTTTTTGTTCAATTTTTCCAATGAATATTTTTAATCAACATGATTCATCCGAATACTAATCAAGCAAACAAAATGATTCAAATTGAAGCTTGCATTCGCTGCATGAGATTCATTGACGCTGACTTAGTGGGTCTTCCTTTTTCAAAAATTTATTTACACAGTTGTCACAATTTCTAATGCGATAAGCAAAAATAAAAATATGTTCCTCTTCCTATCAGTAGTTTTGGAATTACCGAATTGTATATTGTCTTACTGCTATCGTATTAGGGAATAAAATCGCAAACTTTACACACTTTTACTATTGCACACATAGTACCATTTACCTTTTAACCCTCCCGCACTGTCATTAGACTCATATTAAATTATTAATAGTACTTTGCTTTATCACTGGACATTGCGGAGTAAATAAGCAAATATCGAACCGAGGTATTATAAGAGACGATAGCTGCAGACTTTGTTGCGAAGAAGAGAAAACAATAGAACACCTTCTGTGTCAACTTGATAGTCTCGCCAGACTCAACCTTCGGAACTTATCAACTGCCTATCCACTTATAACAGAATTAGGCAACATTTCTCCAAAGGACATAATGGAATTATTAACTGCTACTCATTTATGAACTAAATTGGGTGTGTTACAATAATCCTCAAAAGACGCAGTGACGTGGTGACAAGTTCTCAACCCGTTTAAAAGCTATCATTCTATCTAGCTCACTTTAAAGGAGGACTCTAACATAAAGGTGTGTGATAGAAGAAAAAAAGATAATGAAATATTGAAATACTGAAAATAAGTAGAAATCAATTTTATTAAATCACAAATATGTTAGATAATATTCTAAAAAATTGATTTATCTGTTATATACTGAGACCAGTTTTTTTTGTTGGATTGACTAGAACTGAACTGAAAGTGTCCACCAAAAGCTGACCAAATCATAACCAGGTAGTTATGCTGAGACTAGCACTTTTGTGATGAGTGTGTTGGTGCTTCTCGTAGCTCACTTGATTTCTATAACAAGGAATCATTAGCGCCACATTCATCAAGTTCATCATGCTGTCCTCAACAGGACTTTGATGGTCATAGTGAAAGCAGCACAAGCCGTAAGTTAGCTTTGCTGCACTCAAAACTCTTACTAAAAATATTAGTTGAATACGCAAAAATATCTTTTTTATAAAGTTGGTTGCTGCTAAATGAAGAGTGGACATCAGATCAGGATATGAAATGTCGAATAGAGATGCCTAGAAACTCTCTCGACAAATTCAAAAAAGTGCTATGCAATAGCCACATCAGCATCAACGTACGTGTCCGCCTGGTCCATTCTACTCTATAGCTTGGAATCCTAGATTTTAAAAATTCTAACAATGAACAAACTCATAGCGTTTGAAATGTGATGCTACAGAGGTATTCTGAAGATTTTTTTGGGGGGACAAAGTTTCAAATGAAGAAGTTCTAACAAGATTAAGAAAATATAGAGAACTATTAAAAACTATTAAAATAAAAAAAAACAAGGCACAATCAAAGGCAAACGCGACATGCAAAGAAAACAAATGTCTTAGTTGAGGAACATCCGACACTGGATGTTGTTAAAAACGATTGGAGATTTGGTAGCTGTTATAATCTAGTATGTTTTGCATTAGTTTAAGCAATCTTAAATAATGAAATATAAACTGTCAATCTTGTCGGTTGTATTTACTTCAGTTGGCGACGAGGATAAAAATCTGCAATTATTCAATCGCTTTCACGCTTATTTCGTACCGTTCAATTTTAAATACAATCATGCCGGGCGAAAGTGAAATTTATAAGCAATTGCTTAAAGAACAACAAGAGTTCTCAAAAAATTTACTGAAACAACAACGTGAGTGGATGGACTCAATGTTCCAAAAACAAGGTACTGCTGGTGTATCTGAAAGAAATAACAACATTGTTCCAGTATTTCACAAATTTTCGAAAGAACAGCAAACCTGGGAATCGTACTTAGAACAACTTAACCAACATTTTTTAGCATATTCAGTTCAGTGCAGTGAAAAACAAAAATCATTTTTCTTGTCTTGGATTGGCACAGAAAATTTTGAGCTGCTAAAAAATCTTTTCGGTAACTTGAAAGTACAAGAACAATCTTTCGAAAATTTAACGGAAAAACTAACGGATCATTTCCAGTCGAAACGACATGTGGTCGCTGCACGTTACGATTTTTTCAAAAGGGAAATGAAGCCACATCAATCATACAGAGAGTGGGTAGCCGATCTCCGCGGATTGGCAAGAGAGTGTAACTTTTCGTGCTCAGCCCAGAATTGTTTGCACAATTTCGTGGATGATATGATTCGTGACCAAATTATTATACGTACACCTCACGATGCAGTGCGCACGGCTGCGTTCCAAAAGCCCCAGCCGACACTTGCTGATGTTTTGCAGATTGCAGAATTGTACGAAACAACCACTAAAACGGTGGCAACAATTAAAGAACAAACGATCGAAAACTCAATGCCTGTTAATTCAGTTGGTACAATTATAAAAAAACCGGGTGTTTTCAACAATAACAATAATAAAGTAAAATTCAAATCATGTTCTGGCTGTGGAAACTCTCATGCAAGAGAAAACTGTAAATTTAGAAATGCTGTTTGCAATAGATGTAGCAAAATTGGACATATTGCGCCAGTGTGCATGTCAAAACAAAACAAGAACAACAAACGTAGTTCAGGTGATGAAAACAATAAGAAGGATTATCGTCGTAAAAGTCACAACATTGGTACTGTTGAAACAATTAACAGTTTAACAGGTATTGTAAAAACTGAAAGCAATAAGAATTACATTGACTTGGAAATTTGTAATAAAATTGTGTCTTTCCAAATGGATTCTGGTGCAACAGTTTCTTTAATAAATAAGCGAACATTCAAAACTCTAAATTGCCCAAAGTTGCGGAATTGTACAAAAACCTTATTTGGTTTTGGCAAAAATGAAATTCCAGTGCTTGGTGAACTTTGCGTAGATATCAAATGTGGCGGAAAAGAAAGGGAAGTGGTAATCGTTGTCGTGGATGTCGAAAACTGTAACAATTTATTCGGTTTCGATTTATTTAAAGAATTCGGGTTTGAGATTCAACAAATTTGTAACTTTACTGAGAGTGAATCACACAGAATTAGCGAGCTGTGTAAGAAATATGGTGATATTTTTGAACCAGCTCTTGGCACAATAAAAAACTTTAAGGTCAGTATTTTTTTAAAGCCAAATGCACATCCGAAATTTTACAAAAGCCGACAAATTCCATTTTCGCAAATGTCACTTTTCAAGAAAGAAGTCGATCGATTGACAAATGCGGGTATTTGGAAACCTGTGAAGTTTTCCCAATGGGCTTCGCCTATTGTACTAGCGCCAAAAGCTGATGGTTCCATAAGAATTTGTGGGGATTTTAAACAAGCAGTCAATGCGCAAATTGACATTGAACAATATCCTTTGCCCATACGCGAAAGTCTTTTCCATAAAATAAATTGCGGTCAACATTTTACAAAAATCGACCTTAAGGATGCGTATTTACAAATGGAACTCGACGATGAAGCAAAAACAATAATGGTTGTCAACACTCCACTTGGGTTATTCCAATACCAACGTTTACCGTTTGGAATTGCAAGCGCTCCAGCTATATTCCAAAGATATCTTGAGCAGTTACTTCAAGGCGTAGAAGGTTGCGGAAATTATCTCGATGACATTATCATCTCCGCACCTACATTTCAACAACACATCAGCCGCCTAGAACAAGTACTTCGTATTTTGCAACAAAATGGTATCAGGTGCAAGCAAGAAAAATGTTTCTTTCTGCGAGATAAAATCGAATATCTCGGGCGTCAAATTAGTGCAAAAGGTATATTG